ATTGAGGTGACACACTTAATTTCTTTCAAAACCATCCTCTTATACCATTTGGCAACAATAAAATGGGACCTTGAAATGAATGCTATTTATATAGACTTTCTTACTATTCCACACTGCAGTTCAGATATGAAGGAGACTCATCTGAAGACCCAGAGAGCAGACAGGAAGATAGAAGAAACCATAAAAAGCTATTTTTACAAGAACCAAATGTTTCTGAAACCTGAGTTCACCTGCCTTATCTAAAGAACAACAAGTTCAGTTCTTTTTTTAATGTGTGTGTGTGGCTCAAACTTTCTTTAAATAATTACATAAAACTTTTTTTTTTTTAATAAACTCAACTTAGTCCTACAGGAAGTTGTGAAAAATGTCACTAAGTAGTTCCAACATTTTTTATTTATGATTCCTACAGTCTGATTGCAATGCAAATACTAATGAAAAAATAAAAAATAAAATTAAAAAAAAAAAGATATATCTAACTCCTCATTCTCCAAACACTAGTAGGGTCCTTCACAAATCACCACAGACTGATATTCAAAGATATATCAACACTTGCAATAGCAATTTGGTAGAATGAGATGCACGTAGACAAGTAAATTTTTCTCAAGATGAAGGTATCTCAAATCAGCTTAATAAAATAGCATGTTTGGATTCTCTATAAAGGGAATGAATTATTAGTTTACATTCTTCTGTCACTAGGTATCTTTCCTTGCTCTTTGATGCTGGCAATTGGTTATTTCCCTGGGGCACTACAGTGATGCATTTACATGTCACTGCATCTCTTGCTGTGCTGAATTGTCACTCCCAGATTCAACATGGCAGGCTGATGTAGAAATTCAAGCATATCTGAGGGCTGACAACTTCTGCCTTACAAATATCCTGCACTCCTCTCAAGTCGGTGCAGGGTTTCCTCTGCTAAATGAAAATACAACTCCAAATCATATTTGCCAAAGGTAATGGAAGGGAAAGGGGGACAGGGTTTTCCTTTATTTCAGTGAGTGTAGGGTGGAGCATTGAGAAGATTAAACATGGCATCTTTTTATGACCTCTTAATTTCTTTTCTTCAGCTAGACAGCTTCTTATTTTGACATCACAAATAAGTGACACACGCAAAGAGTTAAGACCCTGACTGCAGGTCACATTAGAGCAGGCTCTAGAGGTACAATTTGAATCTAGCAGTAGGTAACCACTGGTGGCCAGGATACTATAGCTATTTTCAGGATGATGTAGCTATTTTTCTCTTAACTACTCCCTCAGCCAGATGTATTTAGGAATTCTCAAGGGACTTCTCTTCCTAGAACTTGTCCCATCTCCTCCTACATCTACATACACTCTTAACAATCACAAAAACCTTCAACAAGGACTTCACCATCCCAGATATCAACAGGTCAAATATCCTTCTGCGAAGGACAACTCCCCTTCTGGTCCTTCTAAATGTGGCTCCTACTAGCATATTTTCCTGCCCCTAACTACTTGCCCAAGAAGTGCAAGTAACTGCTGTACAATTGCTCATAATGGGCAGTCTGCACTTCTTTTGTGCTGAGAAGACAGCTAGTAAATAGGGCAGATCTTTAAATTATTATTTTAGAGCATTTTCTGAGGTTTACCAAGGGTCCATCCCTATAACCATAACAGTGGTGATTACAGAAATTTGACTTCTCATAACCTCTTCCAATTAAAACAAGTGATCGCTTCGGAGAGCAAACAAAAGATTCCCTATCATTTCTCCACACTCAGCAACCTAGGGGAGAAAAAAAGAACCACAACAAAAAAAAAAAAACACCCAACATGCCATCAGGGACAGAAGAAACCCCAGAGAAAAGATAGGTAGCCTGTCCAAACAGATAGGGCAACCACGTAGAGGGGTGTGCTGGTTTTGGCTAGGATAGAGCTAATTTTCTTCACAGTAGCTAGTATGGGGCTACCTTTCAGATTTGTGCTGAAAACAGTGTTGACAACATAGATGTGTTTTCATTATTGTTGAGCAGTGCTTACACAGAGTCAAGGCCTTTTCTGTTTCTCACACCACCCCACCAGTGAGTAGGCTGGGGATGCACAAGAAGTTGCGAGTGGACACAGCTGGGACAGCTACCCCAACTGACCAAAGGGATATTTCATACCATATGATGTCATGCTCAGCATATATAAAGCTGGGGAAGAAGGAATGAAGGAAGGAAGCGGGGTACGTTCAGAATTATGGAACTTATCTTCCCAAGTAACCGTTACGTGTGATGGATCCCTGCTTTCCTGGAGATGGCTGAACACCTGCCTGCTGACAGGAAGTAGGGAATGAATTCTTTTTTTTGCTTTGCTTGCATGCATGGCTTTTGCTTTATCTATTAAACTGTTTTTATCTCAACCCACGAGTTTTCTTACTTCTACCCTTCCGATTCTTTCCCCCATCCCACCAGGGGGGAGTGAGCAAGTGGTTGTGTAGTGTTTAGTTGCCAGCTGGGGTTGAACCATGACAAGAGGTTAAGTATCAGGCAATATAAAAATGGAATTCTGAAGGCAAGTTCCAGTCCAAAGAGACAGGCTGCCTTGTTATCTTGAGATGTCTTCTCAAGGGGATTTATTGCAAGTCTGACAACTGCAAATGAGTTACAGAAAAGCACAGGTGGAATTATAATCACAGCCACCACCCAAGAGTACAATACATAGTACAGTACTCTGTTATTGACAACCTCTAGTTTCTTCCTCTGACTTTAAATGCAGCTGATTTGGGACCATTATTTATATGGATGAGGAACTACTTCATAAGAGAAAATCTATACCTCCAAAGCTGATGTATTATTCTGCTTGTGTAAAAGATGTCAACAGTAAAAAAAACCCAAGTTGATGTGTATGAAAACCCACAAGTTTGGCTCACTGACTGTGTCAAAATTCACAAAGTCACAGAGAATGAAGCAGAGACTGAGTGTTGAAGTCTGCCTCCCTTTTGAAGGCAAAAACTAGTGTCTCTGAGCATTAATGTATTTCTAATCCCAAACTGGACAGTTTGTCCTCAAATATCTTTTGTTAGGAGACAGAAGTATTTTGGGGACTAACAATGCAGAACCATCTCTGGTGATCTCCAGCTTGTAGGGAGGGAACACAAGTACACAGCACATTGTTGGATGAAGTGATTCCAAGTCCCTGCTATATTTAATTATTCTTCTGTGCTGTTTCTTTCATCGCATTTCCACTCCAGACAACCTTAGCAACTACAAAGACACGAAGCAGAGAAGCTTGCAGCTCCCTGGGGATATGAATTGTTGCTTGAAAACCTCAATGAACTTTGAGTAAAAGCATTTAGTGCGGAGGAAGTCTGCCAGGCAAAAGACTACATTTAGCAAGAACAAGTTATTTTAATTTGAGGAAGTAAATTGTTAAGGAGTGGAGAAGAGCAGGAAGATGGGAGAGGGAGATCAGTCTGTGAAAGCTGGAAGTACCTGGGAGTTGCTAGAGGAGATAAATACCTGTGATAGAAAGGATGTTGGAAAACAACAGATTTACGTGTGCTGTTTCCTATAGAAGGATGTTCATCTAAGATTATGAGACGCTGTGAGTGTGGCAATGTTTCTATGCACTTTGCATACACAAGAGTCACAGACACAGCACATAGCAGCTCATAAATCTTGCAAAATGCAGTACAGCAGCCAGCCTTTGAAAACTATTGTGTTAAAATTATCACTTCTGTGAGGGAGATTGACAGATGGGAGCACATCTCTGCTACCTTAAATTGATGAAAGGAGCAGGATTCCTAGACCTTCGATCTAGCATTGGCTGAATCAAGTATTGTCATAACAGAGTTTCATTGCTTGGGGCCACGTTATATCCAGACAATACCCTTCAGAGAAAAAGCACATTACAAAGTTTTTCTTTTCCCCTTTAGGAAGGCCTTCCCATTACACAGCTGGCAAAAGAACCAGCTGTTTAATGACCTAAGAAGCAGACCAGGGCTCTTTGCTGCCCTTGGAAAGTAAGCTGAGGGGATGAGCAATTTAACACAGTTCATAAGATTTGGCCTTAGAGTCCTGAGTCAGAACAATCAAACTTGAGGTTATTAAAGCAAAGTCTCTCAATCCCAGTCTAGGGGAGCATCCTGGAGGCAGTCTTGACTGCGAGCAACACAATACAGGACTTCTCACCCATCACCTTTCCATTTTCCATTTCTCTGTATATTCAGCCCCGCCTTAGGCAGGGAGAGAGAGGAAAGAAAGGACTTCTTGTGGTCTTCTGGCTTGCTTTGTTGTAACTTCAGTCTGTTTATACACATTACTACAAACTAGAACATGCCATGACAGCCAGAAGCAGTTTCACCTCCACGTTCTCCAAAGACACAGTATTAACCAAAATGCATCTATCAAAGCATGGTGCAGGAGTGAGGCTCAAGCTAAATAAAGAACTGAATTAGTTACAGTTTATCAGGGCTGCATGGGAGTGTACTGTTCCTTCTTCTTATGAAATAAAATACTCTTTATTTCATTCATGACACATTTAAATATATCTGTAATTTTGGACATTATTAGGTGTGAAGTTACATTTATGTTTTATGTTAGCAGGCTGGATAAGCCTGTAGTTCCTTTCACTTTACCTCTACTGTCCCACATTTAGAGACACTAGTACCAGATCGATGGTTCTCAGAACCGCTAATATGCTGAATGTAAGGGCCAGCACAAAGGAAAATATTTCCAATAATAAAAGAAACATTTATTCTTCTCTATAATACCAACTCAAATAGCAGAATAAAATTTTGCTACTACTGTAGTCAACAACAGTGATGGAGAATGGTTCAGAAAATAAGATTTTATCCGAGTTAACCAGAAAAAAATAGTTTCTGTGACTTCTATCATGCCATCAAAAAGACACATTGTAATCTTGGAAGAGGAATTGACAAGTTTTTCCAAATAAATTCTAATACACCTGGAAAGTCAGAGAAATGTACTAATTTCCACATGCGTCTTTCAAGAACTCTCACCACAGCAGTCAGCACTGGCTGGTGTTAGCCTCAGCAATATCATTTTAACAAGTTGATTATGCCCACAGCTATCTAAATTTGAACTCCACTCATTCATTGCAGCCAGCAGCACCAACAGCATGGAAGTAAAGAAGGAAAGCATGCATTATGGTCTCTTACCACAGTATAGATCTGAGGTTTGCGCCTTTTTGCCAGGTCAATTATATTGACTCCATTGTAATAAAGGTTCTCAATGCATCCATGGAAATTTTTCCTCTGAAAGGTTCCTGGTTTCCCCGGGACAGGAATCCCTCCAAAACTGAGCTTTTGGAAAGAATAAGAACAGTATTTAGTTATCACCTCAACAGCAAGAGACCAGAGCCCCACTCCATGCAGCCAGCCAGGATGTTATCTAAGAACCAAGTCACATTAACAGTATCATCTCAGAGCACGAAGCAGGGCCTGGCTACCCAACAGGGGAATTACAGGCTGCATAGCAGTACAGCTGTTGGAGAAATGTTGCTGCTGCAGACAGCTCACTAATTTGCAAACAGCTTTTAAGTGCCTTGACACACTACTTCACCAACCTAGTACCACCAGTCTCCCGCCCCCCAGGAACAACCAACACACAAGGTAATGTTCAAATGGCCTCCAGCCCATAGTCCCCACTGGCCTGGGGGCTGCCACCCAGCAGCAGACCATGGTGTCCAGGAACCGCTGAGCAATGGGAGAATAAACCCTTCCTGCCCACAGAGCGTTGGGTTTGCCTGAGAGCTGGAGTCACCCCTTTCCACCAAGCATGTATCTGAACAGTTCTGCTTTCAGCCAGTGGAGGGTAGTATCACACACACAAACTACCCCATTTGCACCTTGCAATCTTTTCCCCTAAATTTCTCTGTGGTTTGGTCTTTACAGTACTCGCACGTGGTGTTTGGGACTGAGCAGTGTAATGGAGAAGTTCTGCAGGTTACACATTTAAATAAAACTTCTGCTGTGCTGTTGTCTAAATACTGGAAGATGTAAGCATCTTGCAGATTACAACTTGTCACTTAACTGGAGGGCTGAAAGCCCTTGGAGGACAAAGAGCCTAAGAAAATAAAGCTTTCAAAATCCTTGGAGCATAATTACTTTAGATTTCTAAGACAAGAATGAAAGAAAGGGGGAGCGGGGGGGCAAACCAAACACCACAACCCAAAAAACTTCTGATAATCCTGTTTTCATTTTCCAGATGACACAGCTCATTTCTAATTTGCTCCACTGGCCTTTTTGGCAAAGTCTTACTGCTGGTACCACTGGGTTTTTATTAATTTTTCCCATCACAGCCAGCAGCATCGTGAGTCATATAATGCAGGTAGGGATCGTGCAGTCACCACTCTTCACAGTGCTTCCAGCACATCAGGATCTGTGCTGCAATACTGCTGCATCCACTGCAGCAAGGGCATGCACTGCTGTGCGGCACTGCTTACACGCTGATGGTTGCTGGAACCTGGTCAGCCTTATTGCTCTGTCATGACTCCTAACAGCTCACCTCAGCTCATTATTACAAAAATAAAGGGAAATTTGGGGGTTATTTTTGCTCCCACTCTACCTAATAAGCTGGGATACTTAAGCAAATGAAATCTCCCTGGATAACCTTGAAAGCACTTCTTTGAAAACAAGTCCTTAATGAACTTGCACCTCAGCTGTATTAATTGATCACTTCAGAGAAATAAAGAGTGAACAGACTGCTACTTTACATCAGTTGCAGGTTTGTTATTGGCATGAGGGCTTATGTGGTAGCAATGTTTTTTTCCAGTGAGAATCATTAGTTCTTCCTTAAAACACCAGACTTTCCTTCTTTCATGTTCTATTCTTTAAGTCTCCTGCTTAGGAACTCTGGACTGGGTTTCAAAACCAGAAGAAAAATCAATATCAATTATACCACTGCATTATTAAGAAAAAAGTTTCCTTTAACATTGGTAATATTTTTAATTACCAAACTAATGGGTTTATTACCCTCAGTAAGGCCTTTAATCCCTAAAGCGTGCTGAGATAAACTTCAGTAGACTGTATTGTTGTAGTGTTCAACTGAAAGATTGTCTCAGTGCAAATGGAAAGAAAACACATTGTGTCAAAAACTAAGCACCAGAAGCCAGGACTGAGTGTCACAGAGGTCAGTGGTGATGCCGATTTACACCAGCTGAAGATCTTCTCTACCATGCTTCCTGTTTTGGAACATCTGGAAAAAAGTTCTGCAAACTACATTGGAGCCTGAGTTTTCCCTAATTGGCATGAACCTTGTGCAATGAATTTTATTACTTTGAAATTAGGAAAAGCTGATGACTCAATCATTTGGCTTTTCTCAACTCCATCTTAAAAGTAGTTACATCTTTGGCCATTGCTAGTTCAGTCTGAAGCTGTTCCAGAATCTCACTGCTCAAATGTGCTGTCCCTACTAAACGTGTTCGTGATTTGGTACAGCAGTGCCAGGGGACAGGTACCACTCTCTCTATCCTGCTTTGTGAAATGGAAAGAAGGGAGTGTCAGCTGGAACATGAGAGGAGCAGAGAGCAGGCACCTGTCATTGCTGAGCCGTCTGCTTTTGTCCCTTGGGTGTGCTGGGAATTGATCCTTTCCAGAGAAATGAATCCGAAGTGCAGAGGGGAAACTTGTAGTCTCTTAAGCAATGAACCATGCCAGCTCAATGCATCCAGACAGGGTGATGGCTCTGACTGTGCAAGCATAACCCTGTGCCTTGTGGGCTAGCAAGACTCAGTAAACAAGCACATGGGGATAAAAATGAACATGGGTAATTTGCACTAGCTGTGCACTGGTGGGGGGGGGCAGTTGAGGAACTGCCTTGCACATAGATATGATGATATAAAAGTTTTTTAAGGTATTTATTACTATCAGCCATAAGCACTGAACTGCTAGAGTAATATAAACTGCACTCTGCCACACCTTGGCCTGATCACAGGGGAGCACACCAGCCTGGGGTTTTACGGGCAGAGGCAGGATGTTTCCTCTGCTCAGTCCTTCCTTGGCTGAGCTGCTCTAGCTCCCTAGACCAGGATGTTCTGCATCACAACCCCAGATGTGAAGGGACCTGGGTCAGAGCTAGTTGTCTTGACAGTCAGGGTCTTCGATTCCTAGTGGGGAGGAAATGGTCTTTACCTGCTCATCTCTATGTGGAGAGCTGTAATCCGAGCAAGTGGTGGCTGGATAGAGGCACAACTCAGAGCTGGTATCCCCATGGTCATGTCAATCAGATGCAGGGATGGTGTGAAATGTTCCCATTAAAATCATGTTGGAGATGATGACACAGCACCTCTCCCCACAGCTAAGCATGGTTGTTCCCTGAAGATTTGAATAGAACCCAGGCTACACCTTTTAGTTTAGCTCAAAGTCTGCCATACTTGGAAATGAAAGCATAATCCAATGCATATATGCCCAGACACTGTCCATTTTCTGACACTGTTGTATATAGAATTGCACTGACATAGTCTATGTTTGTTAATAATGAAAGAAGCTGTCTGGAAAGGAAATACTAAATAAAGAAAAGATCTTTGCTGGAAAGAAATAGCTCATAGGGTGGCTGTTTTCCATCACATTCATTTTCTACCGATTCAGACTGATCTCCCAGGTTATAACCTAAAGGGCTTCACACACCTCATAATCAATATCTAAGTGATCTGAATCCCCCTTCGTTCGGAAATGCTGTGTGTGCTTGTCCACTGTGAAGTTCACTTGCTTGTTGAAGCGCTCTATGAGAACCGAGTGCCAGTGCTGGTCATCCAGGAGGCTACCCAGGGTGACGGACGTGTGGCTGTTACTGAAGTGCAGGTTGGAGTCACCTGGAGGGGCAGAGACAGGCAGAAGACACCAGAGTTACCTCCAGACCCTTAAGTGAAGCATGAGGACTCAAGGGGAGCACAGAGCAGTGCTCTTAGATGCAAACTGGAGCTCTGTCTATCAGAAACAGACCCTTGTCAAAGCTTGCCTTAGATTCTTTGGGCCTCTTATTCATATATGTGTGTAGATGCACATGCATACCTACAGACACGTTTTTCCCCTGAAATCCTAGTGATAAACCAGGAGGTTTTCCCGATGCTGCACCCACACATTGCAGCACGCAGGGGATCACTGCTCTGCCTGTGCCCTTGGTTCTGCTGTGCATTCAAGGCCCTGGTGTTTTAAGAGCCCTCTTCAGGTTGCACCAAAATCTCCTGTCTATTCACATTAACAGACCACTCCTGACACTTCAATTTCAACTATGTGCTTTTTGTATTGTAACAAGAAAATTGCACCTGTCCGTTTTCAGAGAAAAAAAGCCACAAGACAATGAAGCAACATGAACGCAAGTGTTTTGTTCAACTCAAAAAGATTCTTAAACCCGGCCTAGATCTCCAACAGTTTTGATCTAGAGTCATAAAAATATTTAGGCCCTAACCCTGGTGATTTCAAGCACTCTTCTGTTTTCCAGCTGGCTACACATCTAAACACTTCAGAGCCTCTCACTGAAAAGGAGGATGTGTCCTTTTTATATTCCAGCAGAATGAAGAGAACACATGCTCCAAAACTGCCAGGCAAGATGCAAGCAGATTCAAGAGCAGACATCAAAATCCTTGCCCATGACACATGAATGCACACAGAGGACTTGAAATAGCTAAAATCTGTACATTTGGGGCTACTGCTGAAATTTAAAAAAAAAAAAAAAAAACAAACCAAAAAACACCTCTTCTCTCAGACTATGTATTCACAACAGCATCTCCTCTGGAAGAAGTAACATGATATATATAACTATACTATATTCTTATCCTAGTATGAAACATTTGTAAGAGGAGGACAAATCAATGGAGTCAAAGAAACACACATTAAGAGGCATGGGTATGATCACTCCTACTACAGTACCTCCTGCCATTATCAAAGTGTTTTAGTGTATTCACCAGGAAAAAGCAAGCATCCTTCTACAGAAAGAAATTAAGATAGCCTTTCATCTGTCCCTCTGATCCAACATGATCACACAGTGATGGCCTTCCACATATTCACGGTTTTCAACTGAAACCATCTCCAGAAGCAAAGCAATACCAGTATGCACAATGTTTTGAACAGAATATTTTCATTTAAATTCTGTATTCTTAGCTCAGTTCTGATCACAGAATAGGAATAAAAAAAGACAAAAACCTAAAACAAACCTTTTGCACTCCAAACAAAACTTCCTGGGAAAGTCATTCTTAAAAATAATAACAATAAAAATAAAAAGGGTGAAGGGGAAGAAACAGAACATTTTTTTTAAATCACTGCTTGAAAGTATTATCAAACAAAGGTCAAAACTTCAAAAGTTTTTCATTATGTAGCTCACCCTTGGTTGGCACTAGTTAGAAGAGCCAAGGTCTCTTCTTGGCTTAGCTATCATGTCCTGCATGACATCAGTCAAGTCTATTCTCTTTTGTTTCCCCTCCCACCTTCTCTGACAAGTATTTAAGTTGTGAGCTGTCTGAGGCACACAGCATGTTTTCTTGATCTCAGCTGGAGTTTCTAGATACTGCCCAATAGAAATAATAGATTTATAAAAGCAAACCAACACAATCTTTGTTACAGTAATATGTGAAAAAATAATCCTAATTACCCTTACCCAGGTTGATGTGCAAGGAGAGCTTCCCTTTCTGCAGTTCCAAGGTAATGTAGTCTCCACGCTGTCCTTCTCCATGGAATAAGACTCCGTCTCCCTGCATGCTCTTGAACTTCAAGGAAACCACATCTTTGAAGGTGCTCATTAGCTTCTGATTAAACCTGTAGAGGAGCGAACTTCTGCCATCGAAGTCTGCAATATCTGACTCTGGGAGAAAGAAGATGGCAAAATGAAGAGAAGAGGCTGCATCAGGAAAGGGACCATATTTTTTCAGAATCTTTTCAAATATCACCTGGAGCCAGGTATTCTCAGAAGCATACATCCACAGGATGTACATGGCATCTGGGCAACCACATTTCACCTATTTCCAATCCTCTCCCTCTGTCTGGGGAAAGGGAACACCAGGACAAATCCAGAACTCCTCTGCACTTGTCCTCCTCTCTCTCATGCAAGACTGCTTTCCCACTCAACATTTTGGAACAGAACAGGTGCCTTGCATTGTATTCAGATGTCCAGAACATACCTTGCCACATTTGCTATTTGTCTCAAACACACACAAGATGTTTACTTTGAATGCTTCAGTTCTCACTCTACTTTCTGTATCTCCACAAGTGTCTGTTGAGCTGTTTCTGTGTGTTGGACATGTTTGCATCCACCTTTGCATCCAAATAAGCATCATCATAGCCTCTGAGGGTTGGCTCCTTGTTTGTGATGGGCATTTATCAACGATGTTTCTGCATGCAAATTGACTAGGCTGGCAGGAATAGTGAAATATCAATTCAAAAAGCTTTTGAAGGGATTTCATGGGAACTGGGCATCTAAACAGATTATATACCTTTGAAAATCCTATTAGAAATATATTTTCCCCTTCATCCAGCCTCTAAAATGCAATCACTGTGATGGGAAACAAGCTTTCAATTCTTCAATTGCAATTAATATTTCCTTTGGAAGCAGCAGCCTGCAGTACTCTCTTTGCTTTATAAAGTGGTATTTTAAGCAAAATGTATCTTTAATAAACCTTTCTAAAAATATATATATATACACACATAACCAGAACATTCTGGGTAGGTTTAAATGCTTTTAACTTTTAAATACATTGTATCCAAACATGTGACTGACATATTCCAATTTCTATCCAAATGCAATTTGGTACAAAATATGGATAAAGTATCATTTGTGAATAATAAATCTGTCAATTGGTATTTCCTGTTGTTAAGAAAAATGTTAAAAATTAAGAACACCAGACAATGAAGAATCTGAACAAGGGTTTACTAAGCTACATAGCTACTGGGATACATGCATAAAGATAAAGAATACCTTCATAGCAACCAAGAAGGAAGGGCATAGACTATCCCTGTTTGCAAACCACGTTTTAATGATAATCCAAAGCTATCAGCTTTCCATTTTCTTTTGAAATAACTGAAAGATCCATATGAAAAACAATCAAGACTTCCAGGTCAGCAACTCCATTGTGATTAAAGTTGGTGATTTAAGTCACCTAAGCTCCCTTGAGAGTTCTTTTATCCTTTTGAGTGTTAATGGCAGTTTCATTTGCTCCTCTTTAAAAACAGAAATAATAGAGGTTGGGTTTTTCCCCCCTTTTTTTTTCTTTTTTTAAACTGGACCAAGACTTAAAGAAGTTTGCAATTAAAAACTATTATAAGCTCAGAAAATAAAAGACCTGTTAATGATTTGTTACCTTGGAAACTACCATCAATAGCTTCTGTCAGTATGACAGTTTGTATAGAAGTTTGATGTCACACTTACAAACTTGCAGGGAGCTCAAATTTTAATTTGATGTGAAATTCTGTCACTCCAAAACTGACTCTATTCCAAATCAGAAGGCAACTGATTCTTTCTTATGAGAATAAAACTACAAAGAAATTAAACCCTGGGAAATACTCACTCCAGAATAAACTAAGACCAACTTCTTATCTGTGATGTCAGAATTATAACATGCTGTTAGCATCATACATGAAACAGCTGCTAGTTTAGGGAGTATCATGAATACAAAAGTATTCACACCATCTGCTTTTACTGTTTTTTACTTCTGAATTAGGTGTTCAGAAACAGCTCCTTCAGAATTACCGATTTCTCTCTATTGACACCTTGACTGCCAGTTTCTATAAAGGGAATTAAATTCATAGTTTATTTCTTATTAATTTCCCCTAGCTACATTAAATACTTCAATTTGTTCAAAGTAGATTGCAAGTGTATCATAAAAATGTTTTCATTTTAACACAGGCAGGAATTAGGAAATAGCTTATAAAGAAGTTACAGTCTTTGATTTCCAGTGCGTTTTGCAGTTAAAGTTGACTTTCCTCTTAGCTCTCAAAAACAAAGATACTGTAAGACAGAACTGATTGAATGTTGCCATAATAGCAGGCCTTTTTTCTTCTTCTGCTTAAGATCCAAGCCTTCAACCAGTCTGAATTTACACTTCAGTCCTTGTTCTTAACTCTCCACTAAGCCACAGCATAACACACAACTTCTTGAAGAGCTCTACCACTGGCATTTACAGAGTATAACACAAAGGAAAACCTGTTTCTGAAAAGTTCTGTTTCACTAATTATCGGTTGTGAGTAAACTGGCCAATAAATAATGCTGAACAAAATGGGAATATGTCAAATAAATGCTAACACTGGCAGCCAAAAGTCATTAGTGGCAGTATGCATGACAACAAATCGTTGGCTTCCTGTTAAAAGTTGAAAGATACAGCACAATTCTAATACAGTCACTCCAGAAAACCTGCTTGTTTGCTTAGTGTTTATTTCATCCATGTATGTCCATAATCCACTTGCAGCAAGAGAATAAGGATCAGAAATGTTACAAGTCTCAGAAAACTGTATGGCTAACAAACTAAAACAAAACGTGGTTTCATTCTGCACTGCCTACTGGTTTACTTACGCTCCCTGAAGACAGACTTTACTCATTCTGGGTACTTTTCTACATTGTCCTCGTCAACAAGGCTACAAAACTCATTGGGAGAGACTGAAAGAGTTAATATATGTCGAATCTCAAACATTGTGGGAGACAAGTTAAGGTCTCCATAGTGACAAATTAGGGTCTTCATAGAATCGGCACAGAGCCATGCAGGCGTGTCAGAGGATGCGCAGCTCTGTCTTCTGATGTACCTTACAGCTCACCATATGTGGCCAGAGGTCATACAGAGTTCCTTTGAGGAAAGGGCTCACGACCACCCGAAAGACCCCTCACAATGGCGCCTGCACAGAAGTTGAAGAACATTCTGGAACAAGAACCATGTAAGTCCACAAGGGGGTGAGACTAGAGGCAGTGACTAGGCTATAAAAGACACAACTCCAAGAAGCCACACGCACCCACTACGGGAGGTTTGCCATCGACATCGTGGGATCCAAGGGTGGTGATCTCTCTCTCTCCCCCCCTCCCTTCTCCTCCCCCCCCCCCCCCTTTTTTTCTTACAAGTATTTCAATTAGAACCCACACTGCCTCCTGTTACGCTTTCTTAGTTCAGGTTGCTACCATTACATTTTCCAAGTTCTGGTGGTTTTTTACTATCAGTAAAGTATTTAATCAATCATTTGGTGTTGTTTCACCTTAATTTAGCCCAAGGGAATAACAGAACTGCCACAATCCTCCCTAAGCAGCCCAGTTTGGATTGCGGCACTCATGAAAAGTGACATCAGGCAAAAGACGCTTCTTTCGTGTTGCTCTCCACTGACCAGCAATTCAAACAGATGTCTCTACTGTAAATACATACAGAATCACAGAATCACAGAATTATTTAGGTTGGAAAACACCTTTAAGATCATCGAGTTGAACCACAAACCTAACACTCCCAAGTCCACCACTACACCATGTCCCTAAGTGCCACATCTACACGTCTTTTAAATACCTCCAGGGATGGTGACTCAGCCACTTCCCTGGGCAGCCTGTTCCAACGCTTGACAACCCTTTTAGTGAAGAATTTTTTCCCAATATCCAATCTAAACCTCCCCTGGTGCAACTTGAGGCCATTTCCTCTTGTCCTATCGCTTGTTACTTTGCAGAAGAGACTGACACCCACCTCACTACAACATCCTTTCAGGTAGTTGTAGAGAGTCATAAGGTCTCCCCTGAGCCTCCTTTTCTCCAGGCTAAACAATCCCAGTTCCCTCAGCCACTCCTCAGAAGACTTGTGCTCTAGACCCTTCACCAGCTTCATTTCCCTTCTTTGCACATGCTCCAGCATCTCCATGTCTTTCTTGCAGTGAGACATCCAAAACTGCGAGGTGTGGCCTCACCAGTGCCAAGTACAGGGGACAGGAGTACATACAAACTCCTGCTCACAGGTGAAGAAGTTCCCATGAAATAGAAATAATTCATCAAGCTTTTCCAAAATTCAGTAGAGGTTCTGGCCCCAGGGGTGCTGGTTACATCATTCCATTTGAATTTCCTTTCCCAACACAGAACCAAACATTAAAGTCACTTGGCGGTGGGTGGAAACACAGGCAGTTAGTTGAAGGTGGATTACCAGGTTAATTCAGTTTTGGTTGGTTTTTTTTGTTTTTTTTTTTTTAAGGGAGCATGTGACCACAGGGCTCAACCTATGGGACCAGCTATGCTGAGAGCAGCCAGGCTCGAAGCAACATGAGAGCAGGGAGTTTACTTGTGCAGTGATCTGCTTCTGGCAGCAGAGAAGATACACATTCATACTTACAAAGAGGGTCCTCCTAGTGATTTTGGAAAAAGTAAACACTTACTTGGCAAAGTTATTCCAAAATACAAAAATATCCACTAGGAATAGTTGCAATTTGATTCAGGAACTTTTGGTTGTGCGCTTGCATCAATGAACAGAAACTTTAACTCCCTGCAGGAGGGAGGAGGACTGTTCCTGGTCTGAACAGATGTCTCTCCTGGCCAGTCATGCCTTACTGGCTTGAGTGAGTCTAAAGCAATCTGACTTCTCTCTCCATACCCCTCTCAGACATGCAATCCAAGGGATAAATGTGAATGAGCACTTCAGAGGTGACTGTTCTGCTATGCAGCTTTATCCCTATCACAAATCTATGTCTGCCTCTTGGTAAGCAATCATTTGGGTATTTATCTTACACAGCTGGTTACAAGCCCTATTGGTCAATGACCATCAGA